TTCCTGCCTTGTTCCCAAATCTCCTTTCCTTTTTTCTACTTTCCTGTTGAAGGCCTGTCCATGGCATTTCCCTGTTTTACTCGGTGGTCCCAGAAGGAATGGTGGGTTTAAAGAATTGGGTCAGTCATGGTGTCCCCAGGGCAGCAAAGCAGTTGAGACTCAGTTTTCCTTCATGTAAAAAGAGGCCTATCTCACGGCTGCCTGATAAATGTGATGACTGGGTAAATGACATAAGCTTACATGTGCAAAAAATCCCTAATTTCTTCATCATTCTCTCCCTCAATCACCCAAGAAAAGATTTTTTGAATGTTTCTCCTTATTCCATGAAACTTGATGATCAAGGGAGATCTGAATCTCAAGTAAAAACATCCAAGTGTTCATCCTTTAAAGCCCAGAACAACTCACATATCCCTCCTCCAGAAAGCCTTCCTTGATCTTCCGTTCCTGAATTCCAGGAAAGTGAGAATTGAAAGGCCTTTCAAGAAATTAGCCTTTCTAACTCCATTTATTTTAAAGAGGAGGAATCTAAGGTTCAGAAGTAATCAAGGGACCCACACCCATAACCCTCTCCCAGCTCTACAAATCACCAGCCAGTTAGGGGCAGAACTAGGAATCAGCTCCAACCAAGACTTCATCCTCTTTTCCATGGTCATTGCCCGTTCTGTCTGCCACCATGCGACCCATGCCTCTTTAGAGCAACACTCTGTTTAAGAACAATCTCAGCCACCAGACAGTGAGCTCCCCAAGGGAGGGCCTCCTGCACCCACTCACTTTGAAGCCCCTGGGCAGCACAGTGGCCAGCATGGAGCCAGTGTTAAGCCTCACTCTGGTACTTCTCACTTCTTATGTGTATGAACCCTCCAAATTACATCTGCAATCTCTAGGGGCAGGAAGCACTTCCGATGTGTTGTTTCACACATCCCCAGTGTTTACAAGCCTTTAAAGATAAGGGAGTGAGAAAGAGAGGTTTGCAGTTGGCTGGGGGAAATTCTCCCAATCGCTTGCCTGCTTCTCACTCCACTTGGCAAGTGCCAACCATATTCTGAACAGAGGTGGCCAGTGGGGTCCACAGATGGTCCTGAGAGCAGTCTGGAAACCTATTATCGGCAAAACACCTAGATATGCCCTTGTGCCTTTTTCTGAAGAGAGAAGTCCTTGGCTTTGATCAGATTCTCTAAAACTTTCTCAAAATTTTTTCTAGAGTAAAAAAATTTCTCAGACACCCAAGGTTGACAAGGTGTTTTTATTATATTTAGTCATGTACAAATAAACAGTGAGTTATAAAGTCTTTGTGATTATAGTATTCACACAACTATAAGATCAGAATTAAATTTACAAAATACCAACTAAACTACAGACCCAATACATTTCAAACTGATAGCATAAAATGGATGTCAGATAATGCTATTTTGTGAAATTAAACTTCCCAATGGAAAAATAGAACTGACAGCTAGAAGGCAGGGTCTATTCAGCTCAGCCCGCCCATTCCTCCATGGGTTATTTGAGACTCAACTCTACCACCATTTTTCTCTGTTCACACTTTGCAAAACCTTTATTCCTAAGGTTTGTTGTGTTCTCAACTGGACTTCACTTAATACTAACATACTATTTATAAATTAAATCTCTCTGCTCTTCTCTTGGCTGTCATCCTTTTATTTACCAAGAATATAGCTTAAATTGTAAACATGCACAAAGTCAGGCACTGAAATCTCCTGACTGTCTTCAGTTATAAGGTGACCGTGCAGACGATCCAGAACATGCACATATTTTTAGAGTATCAAAATAAATACAATTAGATTATTATGGAGGACTCACAGGTCTTTAAAAATATGTCCTTGAATTTTAGTTTGATAAACATCTCTATGAGGTTCCTGGCCAAAGAAAAGTTAGGACCAGGGCCCCAAAGAGAGACACTGATGTGCGGGAGAACAAGGCAAAGTTATGCAGGGCTAGAAACTAGTTCACAGTACTTCCTAGGCCTAATGCCTGCTGTTCTTTCAGCTGGTGACCGACTTCCTACCCAGTCTTACTAAGCTCAGCCTTCAGGATAATAGGCCACGTCCAGGGACAACTTACTCACATGGATAGTGAATAGCTTAAAGCACGTATGCCAATTTCAGTCAAAAGGCAGTGGTTGCCTGGAGCACGGCTGAGAAGGGTTCTGAGGCCATGACTAGGATCAAAAAGAAAGATTCTAGAATTGATTAGTGATACCTGCTCTAAGCACCACCATTGTAGATATGAGTTGGCATGTATCTACCTTCTCTGGATTATAAGACTCAATCCTGATAGTAATACAAATAGAAAAAAAAATAGTATATTAGAACCTAAAATAATCTAAAAAGTTATCTATTCAAAGGGGTGAGGTGGTGCTGGTGAATTCAAATATCTACTTGGTTGAACAGATCAAATAAATGAGTAAAGTGGACTGAGTGGGGACCGTGGCCTCATCCAAAGGCAACAGCCACTTTTTAGCTGCAGCCATTGCTGCCAAGCAAGAATGTGGGAATTTGGGTCTGGTGTTGCCAGTTATTTTCAATTTTTTAAGAGAAGCTGGAAATCTGAACTTTCATGTGAAGTCTTCCAATTTTCAATTTGGGCAACCAAATACATTTCTGCAATTTGCAGGTCACTGATTTAAATCTTAATTGTCCCTATTGGCCCCCTGTTTGCAACACTTGATCTAGTCTAATGGCTTCATTTTACAAAGGAAAATCTGACACCCAGAGAGGCAGGGCTGGAATTAAAGCCAGGATTCCTCATATCCCCACTCTGCCCCAAAGGGCTCAGTTTTTATATTCGGCAAAGTGAGAAAAAAGCATCACTATCTTCTACCCAAGCCAATTCCTGGGCCAGGGCTCAGCTCAGGCTTCATGGCTACAACTCATAGAATGGACCCAGACCTGGTACAGAACCAATCTCTTGTTTCAGTAGAATCTGGACTCATGGCAAAGAGTCAAAGGTCAGGATTGGTCTCTAGGACAAGGATACACCCCCCGCCCCCATCCCAGGTCCCTTAGCAGGACTAGCAGAGAGACCTTCCCTGGAGGCCATACCTGTGTTCCACTCATGCCCACAAGTGGCCCAGGGGAGCTCTGTGGTAAAGCAGTTGCTCAAGTAGAAAATGGCCCACGCCAAGATAATGATGTAGTACACATTTAGATGGGCCTCGATCACCTGTGTTGCATAGCCAATGCCTAAAAGAACAAAGAAAAGGGAATGGTTTGAGTCTCTCTTTATCTTGTTAAAACAGTCTCAGCTACTTTTTACAACCCGACATCACCCAGACATCATTTTATTTTCTGATTAACTCAACCCTTACCTTCAAATAAAGGGCAAACTTTTCTCCAACATGTAATTCCACCTTCACTTGTGAATTGTCCCAGAGCTGTTTCCAGGAAAAAAACAGGAATTCCACAGCAAATAAAAAATACCACATAGGGAATCAGGAACGCCCCTGCAAGAATGCAAAATAAGGGAATGAGGTTAAAATTGCCCCACTATTTCATGTTCAGCACAAATCTTTAATGAGCACCCACTACAGGCAAGATGTAATGTTCTCTACGCTTGAGTTCAGGTTGTCACTATGAGGACCAGCGGCAGAAAATGTGGCCCTGGGTTTGTGCCCTCTGCCACCTACTACTGTAAGTTATCTACCTCACATTTACCCTGCTTCAACTTCTTCATCTGTAAAATGGGGCTTTACTATCTAATATCTGCACCGCTTATCTCAGAGAATTATTGTACAGCTAAGGTGATAATGTGGAAGAGTTTTATTTGCTTAATTCTTTTATTTATACATTTCATTCTCCAGCACAGGTCCAATTCATTCCTCCCTGAATGTTGCATCCTTTTTTATTCTAAAGTAACTCCAAAAGGCTAGGTTAGGGGACCCCTTCTTATTTACTTTGGAATTGACCTGCAAAATATCTTTTTCATACAGAAAAACATTCTTAAGGAGATTTGCACTAAGCAATATCAGGCCCCTATACCCGAGGCCCAGGTATAAAGCTGAGTTATAAAGAGTTTGCAGGAAGAACCTGTCCAGAAAGGCTGACTTTGGATCAATCTGAGAAAAAAAAATCACTGTAAGCCTTAGTGCTCCTGTCTTGAAACACAATACCCACTGCCTGGGCCTTTCTGTGAAACAAATTAAATAACTGAGGTGAACATGAGCTATTACAACCAGAAAGGGATTTTTTTCCAAATCCCTCATCTCTCTCCTCTCTATTAACAAGGTATGAAAACACATGCCATTCTCCACCATCTGATCTCACAAATGAAGGCTGTAATTGAAATTGCTTTTTGCTAAATGAAGTCTCTTTAACCACAGGAGCAATAGCAACAATCTGGATCAGTCTTGATAGTAGGACCATATCTAACAAGTTTTGAAAGGCTCTTAGCTTTTCTGGGCAAGATACTATTTTTAAATTTCACAATGGGAAAGAAATAATTTAAACTGCTGTTGGGATCTATGAATAGAACTGTGTGGATTCTTTTTAAAAGGTTAACAGTTGATAAGTGGATAGTCCCAACTGTATTAGAAGGCAAAAGGTGTGTGAAAGGGGATCAGAGGGTCTGTTTGCTGCATCTAAACCTAAGTGACTAAAACAAGCTGCACGTTTCCTAATATGCTATGATTTACCTGTGAATCCTCTAGAACCTAACGGATGACACTTTTCGAAAGCCTTTTGGCCTATGTGTTCACAAAGCTAGTAATCCTTACAATAACTAGTTCAATGAAACCAGGATATCTGTATATCCAATGGAAACTCTTGGTAAGTTAGTCAAAAAAAAAAAAAAAAGATTCATTTTTAAACTTTACTCATTACAACCGTTCTTTCCAATTTGTAGCAGAATTTGTAATGAACCCAGCTTACCTTGTTTTCTGATCTTAGAAACGCTTTTAGTTTCGGCATGACAATTTCTTGTATTAAAAAAAAATGCTAAAACAATTTTTGTCTGGGACTACCTAAAGGGTTTCCATGGGTTCCTAAGCAGATGTGGCAGCTTATGAATCTGCAGAAAGAGGTGGGATTCACAGCTGAGGGCACATTCAGGGTCTCCAAGTCCACTCCCTCTGTGCTCCTTGCCAAGCCACCAACACCAGCGGCCACTTCATTACTAGTGCAGAGCAGGCCTGGAGCAGCCTGTGCCTTCATGATGAATGTCTCCAAAGAAAGGGCTCAGGGAAAGCAGTACCCTTCTCGCTCTCCCTGCAGCTGCTCCAACAGGAAGTCCTGCTCCACGCAGCCTAACAGTGTGGTCCCTGCCGGGCAACTCAGAGCCACCTTCATTGGTGTCTGGGGATCTGTCGGAGGGGCAGGGGCATAGCAAAGACAGGGAGGAATATATAGATACAAGCTTTTTCTTGAAGAAACTATAACATCCAACAAGGTTTTACAAAATCTCCTGCCTTAGACCTGCTGGCTGTCCTGCTAATAATGACAGGTTGGGGCTCCTGAAGTCTGGAGCCCGTCCTTCAACTGAGAGATTTGAGGATTCACTGCTGTATCTCCACCAAACTTACTTGGATAAATTGTCACTGCATACGATTCTCTCATCATCTCCCCACCCTCAAGCTCTAAGCATCTCCTAAACGTTAAAACAATGTTGTTGCTGTGTGTAGTGGATGACTGTGAGATCAGTAAAAAAACTGCCTGGTGCCAATTCTTCCGCCAGAGGCCTGAAAAGAAGCCCTAGAAGGGCCTTAAGAGCAAATGAAAGACTGGACAGGAAATCATACAGCGGTGCCTAACCTAGAAGTTCTCCCTGTTGTCGGTCCACTTCCAGTTTTAAAAATGGCCTGTGGTGTCAGAACGCCATCTTCATCACTCATTGTTAGTGATTTCTCTGATCCCTAGTTTCCTCGTCTGCAAACTAGGTATAGCACTGACTACAGAGATGACTGTAAGGATGAAGTGGGATAATGTAGGTAAAGCTTAGGATGGAGCGCAGCATTTGAGTAAGCACTCAAAACCCGATCCTTACTCAGATCATTCTCAGCCTTCATGGCTGTCTCAAGTTGGGAAAGCTGAGGTTCAAAGGAACTGTCTCCTGTCCCACACAGCAATGTAGGTACCAAATGCAAGAGCTCCCGGTCTCGGTCTGCATCTCCAGGTGGGACGGAACGCACCTGGCAGACAAGTAACCGCGTGCTAGCAAGCGGCACATTCAGGTGCGAAGCGCATGTGCGCATGCGCCATGGGAAGATGAGCCTTGCCCGGGTAAGCTCAGGCGCCAAGTGGCCCAGGGCGCGCATTCTCCTGAGGGTCCCGCTACACGCAGGCGCGGGAGGGGTCTCGCGCTCACCCCTCGCTCCCCGCCCCCATGGGGCTGTTCATGCCCCCTCTCCCATCCACCCCCCACAACCCCCCACATTCTCCTCAGTGCCGCTGACCACCTCACCTCCTCCGTTCTTGTAGCACAGGTAAGGGAAGCGCCACACATTACCAAGCCCGATAATCTCCCCGGCCACGCTCAACACGAACTCCACCTTGTTGTTCCAGTGGCCGCGCTCGTGGACCGCCTTGTCGCGCTTGTCGCGCGGGTCGCGCGCGGGCG